CCAAATCAGGTGGCACCATCTTGCCATCATTTCCTCCTTTGTTCATCAGCTTCGGATCTGAGGGCTGTTGTCAACAGTGGTGAAGAAGAGAGACTAAATATTCCACTGGACGGACGGCTGACATTGATCCTGGGGAATGAGGTTGGCAAGGGCAAACGGGAAGGCTTTTCACCTCTCTCTGTCTGTCTCTGATTCTCATTTCCTTTGGGGATGGGTTTGATCCTTCCCACCATCACCGAGATGCTTGCTTCCCTGTCGTCTTTTACCTCCCAGCAGAAGTACCATCTCAGCTCAGACCAGAGGCAGGTTACCTTAGCAGGTAAGCCCAAAAGCGGGGCAGAAGGGACACCAACGATAAAAGTATCCAGGTCAGGGCTGCCTGGCTGGCTCAGTCAGAAGGGCATGTAACTCTTGATCTTGGGGTTGTGAGTTCGAGCCCCACATTGGGTATAGAGATTACTTAAAAAGTAAAATCTTAAAAAAAAAAAAAGTATCCAGGTCAGGTTCCAGGTTTTCCTCCTTCATTCTTTTTAAAGATTTTATTTATTGGAGTGCCTGGGTGGCTCAGTTGTTAAGCATCTGCCTTCGGCTCAGGTTGTGATTCCAGGGTCTTGGGATCAAGTTCCGCATCGGGTTCCCTGCTTTGCGGGCAGCCTGCTTCTCCCTTACCCACTCCCCTGGTTGTGTTCCCTCTCTCGCTGTGTCTCTCTCTGTCAAATAAATAAAGTAAAATCTCTTAAATTTTTTTTTTTAATTTATTTGTGGGGGTGGCACAAGCAGGGGGAGTGGCAGGTGGAGGGAGAAGCAGACTCCCCACTGAACAAGGAGCCCAATGCGGGACTCAGTCTCAGGACCCCAGGATCATGACTTGAGCCAAAGGCAGACACTTAACCAACTGAGCCCCCCAGGAATCCCTTTCCTCCTTCATTCTATATACAGCCAATCTCCATTAGTTACCAGACACCCTTGGAATTCTCACCCAAAACAACTAGAGTCTCCTATCCTCTTCCCGCTGCCAAGATGGAGTGCTGGTATCAGAGGCACTTACTCAGCACCTGAGTCCCTGCTACTCACCCGGTCTGTGGAACCCACTGAAACACTCTTGATCGGACTTTTTCCCCTAACACCTTCCATTCCAACACAAGAAAACTCAATCCAGAGAACTTCACATTAGGCTTCTCGTCTAGTATGTGATGGACTCCAGTTCCACATCCTGCCCATGGACGCTGGGATCGCAGTCCAGCTGGAGTTCTGGAAGCATTGGCAGTACCGGGCAGGAATGAAGCACACTTGTTATATAGCGGAGAAAGTTGCAAATCAGGAGATCGGTCGCAGGTATTAGGGGGCCTGGCTCAGGCTCAGTTCCCAACACAGTAGGGCAGAAGCGTGACCAAAGAGGAGTCAGCTGGCACTGTGCTCATGGCTGAATTAAGGAGCCTGTCGGAGCTGGACATTGACTTTAGGGGAGAAATGCAGACTGTACTGTGAGCGTCGGAGGACCATTTGACTCAGTTTTGAAATTTATTCCGGTTCATACAATCGCTCTGGATTATTCTCTCCCAACATCGTATCTTTGTCCGCTGAGATCGCGGTACTCAACATGGGCCCCGGCCATTTTTCACAGAGACTGGAGGCCTTCCCTTTTCTCCTACCAGCTCATGGGACAGGAGCCAGCCTTGAAACCCAAAGGTCCTAGTTTCTTGTCCTGAATTTACTGGGCTTCACGACAAAGTACGTCCGAGAAGGCCGCTCAGGCGCGGGAGAATCTTCCCACCTGGAATTCCATCAACATTTGAAGTTGAACTTCCTTCTTTAAAAATAATAAAAATCAGCAGATCAGAACCAAGGTGACTAAATCGACAAGAGCTTTGTAAGCAGCTCTTGTAATGAGTATTTTTAAAGTCAAGATATTGATGTATAATTTAAGTTGCATGAATTTGGGGGCTGGGGAGTTGGATTGTATTTTTAATTGTGGTAAAATACACACATAAGAAAATTTACCATCCTGGGCGCCTGGGTGGCTCAGTCAGTTAAGCATCCGACTTTTGATTTTGGCTCCCGGTCACGATCTCGGTCGCGAGATTGAGCCCCGCGTCAGGCTCTGCACTTGGCGGGAGTCTGCTTGAGATTGTCTCTCTCCCTCTCCCTCTGCTCCTCCACCATACCCTCCACCCCACTGTTTGCACACACACATGCACACACACACTCGAAAAAAAGGTGGGGAGCTGCCTGGTGGCTCAGTGGATTGAACATCCATCTCGGGTCATGTTCTCACAGGTTGTGGGATTGAGTCCTGTGTCTGGCTCCTTGCTCAGTGGAGAGTCTGCTTGAGATTCTCTCCCTCTGCCCCTCCCCTCCCTCACTCCTGCATGCTCTCTCTATCTCTCTCTAAAATAAATAGATCTTTTGGGGTGCCTGGGTGGCTCAGTTAGTTGAGGCACTGCCTTTGGCTCAGGTCATGATCCCAGGGTCCTGGGATTGAGGCCCACATCGGGCTCCCTGCTCAATGGGGAGCCTGCTTCCCTCTCTCTCCCTCTGCCTCTCCCCCTGCTTGTGCTCTGTCTCTGTCAAATAAATAAAATCTTTAAATAAATAAATAAATAAAATAGATCTTTAATAAATTAATTGAATTGAATTTAAAAAAAAAAAAGAAAAAAAAAACTGACCATCCTAACCATTTTTAATATATAGTGCAGCAGTGTTAAATACATTCACGGTGTCCTACAACCAATCTCCAGAACTCTTTTCATCTTGCAAAACTGCAGCTTCACACACGCAGACCAACAGCTCCCTGTTTTCCCCTACCCCAGCCCTTGCAACCACCTTTCTACTTTCTGTCTCAGAATTTGACCCCTCGAAGCACCTCATGTAAGTGGAATTCTGTAGTATTTGTCTTTTTCTGACTGGCTTATTTCACTTAGTGTAATGTTCTCAATGTTCATCCGTGTTTCAGAATTTCCTTCCTTTATAAGGCTAATATTTCGTTGTATGGCAAGCCCACATTTTGTTTATCCCATCATCTGCCCATGGATAGTATTTGAATTGTGCCACTATGAACAAGTGTGGGAATGGCTCTTCAAGACCCTGATTGGCATTAGTGTTTCTTAAAATTGAGTGAAGGAAGCCTAGAAGAATTCCATATCCCGTGGTTTTATTATTATTTGTTTTAATTATATATTATTATTTATTTGACAGGCAAAGATCACAAGTAGGCAGAGAGACAGGCAGAGAGAGAGAGAGAGGGAAGCAGGCTCCCCACTGAGCAGGGAGCCCGATGCGGGCCTCCATCCCAGGACCCTGGGATCATGACCTGAGCCAAAGGCAGAGGCTTTAACCCACTGAGCTACTCAGGCGCCCCGGTTTTATTATTATTATTGTTATTATCATTATCATTATTATTATTATTTTACCATTTGGAAAAACTCAGGAGTGCAACACTAATTTCACCAGGTAGTATCTTTACAGCTTCTCAGTGTGCTGACTTCAAGGGCTGCCTGTGCCATTCCTCAGCCCTGTGTGAGTGTTCTGAGAATCGCCATTAAATAGAAAGTTGCCTCAGTCCAGCTGTACCTCCGTGACTGAGACACTGGTCAAAGGCGGAATTATCAGGGACTTGGTGTATTACTAAAACCCACTGTTCCAGTTTCCCCTCACACGGGGCTTGAAGTCCCACACCGCCCTTCCCCGGGCCAAGAAAGCACGTGGTCCCAGGACAAAGTCAGGGACGTCCAGCTACAATCCTCTTCACCACCAAGTGCCCTTCTCCCTGGCAAAGACCTACGAATAACATCTGTGATCGGGTTTCAGAGTAAGCAAAGCGGCAAGGGCTGAGGGGTTGCTGAAATGAGTTCATGAACAAATTGACCAAAAAAATGATCTGTGAATAAATCATAAAGAAGGAAGAGCTCACCAGCCATGTGGACAGATAAGACTCCTCCCCCACAAATACCAGCCTCTCTTTCATGCCCTACATTGTCTGCAGGCATGTATAAACTATATTCTAGACCATTTGGCATTCAGATAGCTAAGTCGGCTCCACTCAGCTCAGAGGTGATGGGGGGCTGAAGTGTTAGCGTTCTGCCCTCCTGCAAGGAGGAAAGGGAATCTAGTTCAGGAACCAAAGGAAAGCGTATTCATCCCATCTCATCTTTGAAGACCCTGAGACAGACTCCTCTACGGCCCCCCAGATACAGGGTTCTCCAGCATTAAATGTGCAGAAATCAAATGCATATCCATTACAGGAGAAATCGTAGGGAAGGGGAGCTGAGGTGACAGATTTTGAAGAGCAAACATGCACCTTTGTGCTCTGTCTTCTTAAAATTCATCCTCTCACCTGCCAGCCTTGAGAATTGCCTATTTACATAACTAGCTTCCTAAAATGGAATATTCAATAACGTTACACGGTGCCTCACTCCGTTGGAGCCCATCCCCAGGATTTGAGTGCTCCCGGAGTCATCCCGCAGCATGTGGCATGGCGCGCTGGCCTGCCGCCATGCCTCCGTGTGGTGTGAGCCTGTCAGCGCTCCCGAGCCAAGCAGATGTCAGGCCTGATCTCCGAGGTGGGAGGCCAGCGAGCAGCAGGGGGAGGGGACATGATTCAGCAAGTGTCATGGTAGCACGCCGTCTTCAGGGGACAAACAGCATCTCTCCCTGAGCTTCCCAGCAGGCACCTTGTTCTGCCCAAGGTGCTGTCCCAGAGACCGCCGGCAGAGAGGGACTGAGAAGGGGGGGAGCTGCAGGATCTATGGGGACAACCCGGTGCCGGAGGGACTCAGTCAGCTCTGAGCCGGCCCGGGCACTGTGCCAGCCTTGAACCCCCTGTCGGTCCTTTCCGAGGCACAGATCTCCTTCCCGTCCACACGGGAGTCCTGCTGCTCGCTTATGAGAGGAGTATAAATAAGTGATAAGCAAGTGTTGATGATGAGAGGCGCGTGTAGCTTCTCAGCAGACCGCATGTATCAAAGAAGGCAATTGTGTGTGTTTGTTCATTTATTTTTCAGCGTTCCGGTTCCTGTAGTCAGTTTAGAGAAAATCCCTAACCTAGTGAAGGCAGATGGTGCCAATGTCAAAATGAACTCTACAACCACTACCGTGGTCACCTCCTGCTCCATGTCATCCTCTGCTGTCTCCACCCCACCTTTAATTAAGCCAGTCTTGATGTCCAAGTCAGTGCCACCTTCCCCAGAGAAGATCTTAAATGGCAAAGGAATTCTGTCTGCCACAATAGACAAGAAGCACCAAAATGGCACCAAAAACAACAACAAGCCTTACAGGAGACTTTCAGGTACGTGTCTGTTTCCTTCGAGCCTGGCTCCCGATTAGATCTGGGTCACATTCCATGACCAAGCAGTGCTGTGTTCTTATCATTAAGCAGGTCCGTTTTGTTGTAAGGGGAACACGGGCTTTACCTGCCAGCAGGAGCCCCCCCCCAACTTAAAAATGCGAGAGAAAACGGGTTCTCTTATTTCCGGGCCAGATGAGAGCTCTCGCTCTTGACTCCGTGCTCAGCAGGAGGGGTCCTCCCGGCCCAGAAGACAGGATGCCTTATACCAAACACGACAGCCCATTCATTCTCGAGGGTCTTATCAGGTTGATGGGCTGAACCGGCCCGGGTTCCACAGAAGCTTCTCCGCAGGGAAGTCGGACAGTCACAGGGATGGAAACCTCGCAGTAGGTCAGGGCTGACGCGGGGCAGGACCATGAGTGCTGTCTGCCATGGAGCGGACATGCTTGGGTCTTAATTGGTCGCCTGGTTGATTCCATGGTCTGGGGCTACGACCACCTTTCCTACAAATCCAGGTTGGAATTCCCACTTGGGAACCCTCAGACCAGCACAGCCGGTGCGAGGCTGAGGGGTTTCTCTTGGATCTCCTTCTCGGTTATCTGCGTAGACAGTTGGGATGGCCAGAGAGGTGCACAGGGCTGGTCTTGGAGGCAGTGGTTGCCTTCAGGGGCCCCCATGTGGATGATACTTGCTTTGGATTTGTTGTGGAGCTAAATCTGGTGGTTCTGCTTTCTCCAAAAGACCAAGAAAAGCTATAAACTTTATTACTTCTTCACACACCGGGGGCATTTATCAAATGTTGACTGGAAAAAAAGAAAGGAAGAAAATACAGTGAAAGCCACCTGGTGAGAGAGAGAAACTGTGCCCTCCAGTAAGAGCGTAATTCTGAATCAGCCTAAGAACTGTGGGTCATTTTTATTTTTTACTTCGTGTTAATCTGTATTTCAGGTGTCCTATTTTAACATCTGTAACTGTTCAAAAAAATCATTTCTTAAAAGTTCTTTGGACCCAAGCATGCAAAAGATGTTTACCCTAAACTTCTCCCTCGGTACTGCTCACCCACTCTCAAGAAAGAAAGGTAGAGCCTGGCGCACTCTTTGAGCATTGTGGCGGGGCGGCGGGGGGGGGGGGGGGCGGCTGTGTGGACAGGAGCCCCTAGCTCCTGGTTCTCTCCTGAACGGAAAGTTCAAGTTCACTCTGCAGGGGTGGGTGGCAACATCCCTGGAAAAACCAGTAGGCCCAGCTGGGCGGCATCCAGAGGCAGAAGCATGACCATGGCTTCCAGCCTGCGGCCCAGCCTGAAGTCGTAGAGGGGTGGTTGGGGTTCTTTTTTGGTGTTTGTTGGTTTTGCATTTTGTTGGTTGTTTTGTCTCATTGGGTCTTTTGCTTGTTTCTGTCTCGCTTTCACATTTGGCAGCCAGCTCCTCCCCCACCTCCCACCCCCGCCAAACAACCTGCTCAGCTGCAGGCCAGGGTGAGCGCTGGTGTGGATCTGGGCCCGGTTGTGACTCTGACAGGCCCCGGGGAAAGAACTCGGTGGCAGGCAGCCTGGGGCCTGGCTCCTGGGGAGTCCTCAGCAGGCAGAGAGGGCTCAGAGGAAACGGGCCTCTCCAGGCCTCACAGTTTTCTAGTCTTAAAAAAGAAGCTAACAACAACAAGTTGCAGGCGGTGTGAGGGAGCGCCTGACTGGCTGGGTCAGAAGAGCCTGAGACGCTTGATCTCTAGTCGTGAGTTCAAGCCCTACGTTGGGTGTAGAGATTACTAAAAATAAAATCTTTAAAAAGGAAGAAGAAAATGATGATGATGATGATGACAATGACAAAAGCAAACAAAAAAAAAAAAAAAAGAGGGGGAGGCATTTTGATGTCCAGCCAGGAAACCTGTCTCGGATCTTAGAATGGTTTTTGTCGCAGCCATCATCGCCACTGTTGCAACCACCCCACAGGCCCCAGACTTTCTTTTAAAAACAGAACACGTTCATTTATTATGCTCAGAGTTTCCTCCATCAATCTCAGACGGCTACTCAGGTAAAGCCCTGTTTGGTTTGCAGCTATTCAAACCTCTTAAGGAGACTTTCCTGCAAACTGATATACGAGCCTCCCACCCACACACCCACCCACCCTGCGACACTGTTGCCAACCTCCCCAAATGCCCAGAGGAGCTATGTTTTCCCTGTGCCAAAGGACCCAGGTGGTTGCTGGGTGCCTTCCAGAAACAGCATGGCCTATCTGAGACGTGGACCTTTGAAGCGGAAAGCGTCCATCAGGGCTTGTCTCACGTCCCCTCTTTTTCCAGTGGAGGGGAGCGTGTTGGTCATCCAGAAGGGGCAAGGGATCCAAAGTGGGTATAGACAGAGCAGACTTCTTAGAAGGAACGTCATCAAGTGCCATCCACAGCCCAGTAAGAGGGCAGGAACGAGAGGAAGCCTGGCCTCCCTGCAGCCATCCTCCGTCCCCAGTGGGTGGGCTAGCCCAGGCTCATTCCCATGGAGGAGCGACAAGAGAGCAGCAGGCCCCGCCCTCTGTGCCCCTTCACCTTCACGTGCACAGACAGCACACACCCAGCCTTTCCCCCTGCCCCTGCCTGTGACACTGCCAAACATTGCTGAATCAGGTAAACCATGTTTCTGGTCAGCTGGGCTGTGTGGAAAGCCCGGTGCTGAGGACTTGGCAAAGCACAAGAGAGGCAGGTCACACTGACATGGCAAGGAACACTCTCCCACTTACTTGGTGAGAACTAGCGGGAAGGTAAGGGGCTGGGGGGGGGTGTGTGACGTATTCTTGGAGCTGCCCGGGGAGGAACAGTGGCCCTCCCTGGTCTGCAGCCAGCTGAGCCCAAAGTGCCAAGTGCTTGGGGAACCGTTTAAGTGAGATAAAGTGTGTAAGCATCAGGGCTTCCTGCCCTCTGTGCCTGCCCGCCCCTCCCCTCCTTAGTCCTTGCACCTGGGGCTGTGTCCCGCATCCCGACCTAAGCTGGACTTGGAACTCTGGGGTCAGAGGGGAGTGTATTTTCCCCTGAGCGGTTCTTGAAGCATTTTAGCAGCCGGTTGGGAAAAAAAGAGAAAGAAAGAAAAGAAAAACAAAAAACCAGATTGCCTGACAATGTCTCACTTGTTGGTGCAAATGTGCATTTTTTTTAAAATGTAGTCTTAATGCCAAATCCTATTTAGTCTCCTTTTTTCTTATATTTTTTGTTTGTTTCTTAAACCAGAGAGAGAATTTGACCCAAATAAACACTGTGGAGTGTTGGATCCCGAGACAAAGAAACCTTGCACAAGATCCCTCACCTGCAAGGTATTTCTCTTTCCATAAAAAATACTTCCTGCTCTCGCTGGGGCCTTTGTCGAAATGTTTGCATGCCACTCTCTGCACACGGCAGGGTGTGGAACCTCGACATGACCCCCAGCTGTTCTTTGTAAGGGAAATGCTTTCTTCTCTTCCATGGTAGCAGAGTGCCTGCCTCGAGCTGGCTGGCTTTTTAAGAAGGAAAAAAAAAAAAAAAATAGGCTTCCCCTGTTACTTGTGAGGCCAGACAGTAAATTGTATTTATAGGCACTCACAGGCGGTTCTAAACCCTGCTACGTTTTAATGTATGCAGGAGCGGCGGCAGCGGCGGCGGCGGCGGCGGCGGCCTGAAAGGCAGCCGCGGAGGGGAGGACCAGCGGCCGCGCCCCTGATCGGGCCACACCGGGTGGCCAGGGGGACAGCTGAACCCAAGGCAGCCGCCATCGGGCAGCCCCCAGCCCTGTATTTCATACTGAACTGCTAGTGCTTCTTGGGATCGAGGCCGTGGCCCCCTCCGCCCGGTGGCTCCGTGGGTCTGGGCCACGGCGAGCCTCCCACCTGCACCCGGATTAACTCTAGCCCGTCCTCCTGGTCACCTGGCCTTAGAGGTTTCCGTGGGCTCTGCGTTGAGGCTCATCGTCCTGCACCAGTTGTTGTTGGGTTTTGGTTTTTGTGGTTTTTTTGGTTGTTTTTTTTTTTTTTTTTTTTTTTTTGGAGGAAGCTTTGGCTTCTTAACGCCAGGAGTGTAGGGCATGGTTGCATTTGCGTGGTGTCTGCCTCTTCCCAGCCACAGCACGGGAGCTGTTGCCTTGAAGTTGACTTTTCAAGCACCTCTAAATTCCCATGAATTGCTGTATCTGAGATGGAGGGCCTGGGGAAGCAGGTTTATGTGCTGATCAAAGAGGCTGTGCTTTTCATCTCTCTTCTCCTTAGACACATTCGCTAAGCCATCGGAGGGCAGTCCCGGGCCGGAAAAAGCAATTTGACCTCCTTCTGGCGGAACACAAAGCCAAGTCCCGGGAAAAAGAAGTCAAAGATAAAGAGCATCTCCTGACATCAGCAAGGGAAGTGTTTCCAAACCAACCCGGGCCGGCGCAGGACACTCTGCCAGGACCTTCAGGGAGTTCTGGGCCAGAACCGAAAGTCGCCTCCCCTGCAAAATCCAGGCCACCTAACTCTGTGCTTCCTAGGTAAGTCCCGCTTTGCCGGTAGAAGCCCCAGGTCCTAGGTCAAGTGACTGGCCGGGTCACGTGCAGTCTGATCACATGGCAGGGGAAGTTCTTATAGTCCTTCCCCGTGAGGCGGTTGTGGAGTTTAAGCGAGATCATGGGCATGAGGGGCTCAGCCAGTGGCCGCCACGTAGCTTTTGGTGGATTTTACTGCTGTCACCATCTTCATCTTCATCTTCATAGCAGACCTTTAGCAGACGGAGCAAGACTAAGCCGGGAATTAATACGTGGAAGGATGACCGACCAGCCCCTGGGCAGCTTTCCGGTTGCTTGAGTTTTTAGATGAGTTGGACACTCCTGGTGCTGAGAGTGGGGCAGTCATCACACCTTAGGAGCCCAGGTGCCACGTAATTTTGTGGATTTTTTTCCCACAACTCTCCTATGATCAGGGCGAAAGGAAAACTGGCATCACTGAGGCCGTTTGTCCTTACATCTCCCTCCACACCAAGAAAACTGAGCCATCTGTTTGGGGTTTTATTTGGTTGACCTGGACAGGGAGGAAAGAACAGAAAACAGAATTAAAATCCGTCTGGATTAAGAGTGATTTAAAACCCATGCATGTCTGTTTTGATGGGCAGTGGAATCCTGAGCGGCCAACCAGTTTCCAGGTAATAAGACAGGGAGCCCTTCATCCAAAAATATTTATCTAGTGCTGGCTCCATGAGCAAGGGACTAGCGTACCTCTTCCTTATTGTGCTTCGCAGATATTGCTGCTTTTTTTTTTTTTCTCAACAAACTGAAGGTTTGTGGCAACCCTGCGTCGACCAAGTCCGCCAGCGCCATTTTCCCAACAGGGTTTGCTCATTTCGTGTCTCTGTGTCAATAAAGTATTTTTTAATGAAAGCATGCACATTAGGTATAATGCTACTGCACACTTGATAGATGGCAATATAGTGTAAACATAACTTTTATAGGCACTGGGAAGCCCCAAAAATGTATTTGATTCACTTTATTGCGATACTGTCTTTATGGCAGTGGTCTAGAACCAACCCCGAGCTATCTCCCAAGTACACCTGAACTGTGTCAGTTACTTTCAAGCAACAGTGCAGAGATGAATGCAATTAGATCCCACTTTTTAAGAATTCAGAGTTTAGAAGAAATGAGACTCAGATACTCATAACTTCATGGAAAAGAAACGTTAATAATAAAATAATGAGACGTACAGGTAGTGGTATTATCTGATTGCTTTTAAGGTGTACAGCGTGAATCTCAAAGGGTAATTGTGCCGTCAGCAAGCAAGCATTAAGAGAACACAGTTACAAAACAAGGGGAAGGGGTTGATTTTTAAAGCAAAAACAAATATTTGATGACAGCTGGCACGGAACTGCCGGGTTCTCACCCTCCTGCCTTCCACTTTGGTGTAAGCCTGATGCAGATGGATAGCTGGAGTCCCTTTGTCGGAACCTCCAAGGGCGGCTTCAGGTTCAGGAGGACACGGTCAGGTGGAAGGGCCACCAGCACACATTTCCCGCGTCAGAAACATTGCCCAGGTGTTGCCACCAACTTACATGTCCTATCGTTTTGCAGGATCATTTTATAACGACTTTTCACGGTCATGCCAGAATTTGCCAAAGGATATTTATTACCTTTCCTGAGCTTTAGAGTTAAGCAGGCAGTTCTGTTCCAGATTTCTGGGAGGGGCTTAAGTCTCTGTACGGTGGCTCTCAAACTCTTCCGTGGCTATAGAGCTTTCTCACTTCCCATAAAACATTGTGTGTACCCAGTATAAAAACAGAGGCCTGCTCCACCTAATGCCAGCTCCACTCTGCTCCCTTCGCACATGCACCCAGAGCCTGCTGTCCCCTTAGCCCATCCAAGGGTCACCTTGGAGTCCCCCAGGGCTCCAAGGAAACCAGTTTGAAAACCATCTTTTATTATAGGTGTCCCATAGAAAGTAGTGTGAGGAAATAAAGGCCTTGGGGCCCCCAGATTTCCATTTGCCTGTCCTCCTGGGCACTGTTCACCAACCTGGGGGCCTTCGAATAGGGGCTCTATGCTCTGTTTCTTGGCCCCAGCTCCAAGGGGAACATATTATGTACCCCCAGAGAGTCCAAGGCTATGGATGACCAGCCCAACCAAACCCCTCAGGACTTTTGTGGAAAGAGGGTTGAGGGTTGAGCTAGGCGCTGACAAGCCAGTCTCCGGCCCCCAGGAGGGAGGGAGGAAAGGTAAGCCATGGAAGCCCGTGCTGACAAAACCTGGGCACATTCCCCTCTGTCTTGTGGACGCTCACATATCTAAAGTATAAAAATAGTGGGGGCCTGGGTGGCTCTGTCAGTTGGGCATCCGACTCTTGGTTTCAGCTCAGGTCGTGATCTCAGGGTCCCGAGATGGAGCCCCGCATCATGCTTGGCGCCCGGCACAAAGTCTGTTTGAGTTCTTGGGCCTCTCCCTGTCCCTCTGCTCATGTGCTTGTGCTTTCTCTCTAAAATAAATAAATTTTTAAAAAAATTTTTAAAGTATGAAGTGGCAAAATCCAAGGAATTTTAGACTGGCACAGGAAGTGGAGAGAGAGGCAGAAGGTTCTAGATACCTGAAAAAGGGCAGCGATGGTTCTGGAATGAAAGCAACTCTAGCTCATGCCTCATTAGGATAAGTGTTACTGCTACACTGTAACCCTTGACTTCATGCATGTTCCTCTGTTTTTTCTTTTTCTTTTTTTTAAAGATTTTATTTATTATTTGACATACAGAGATCACAAGTAGGCAGAGAGGCAGGCAGAGAGGAGGAAGCGGGCTCTCTGCTGAGCAGAGAGTCCGATGCGGGGCTCGATCTCAGTATCCTGGGATCATGACCTGAGCCGAAGACTGAGGTTTTAACCCACTGAGCCACCCAGGCGCCCCGACCCTCTGTTTTTTTCTACATCCATTTCTCAAAGATTCTTATTTATTTATTTGACAGACAGAGATCACAAGTAGGCAGAGAGGCAGGCAGAGACAGAGGTGGAAGCAGGCTCCCTGCTGAGCAGAGAGCCCGATGCAGGACCCTGGGATCGTGACCTGAGCCAAAAGCAGAGGCTTTAACCCACTGAGCCACCCAGGCGCCCCAATCTGAAGGACTTTGAAGTCAGGCAGATAGTATCAAGTCTCATTTCTGCTTCTCATTAGCTTTGCCACCCATTCCCTCATCTGAGAAATGTGGATGAGTTACACCCACCTAAAGCAGAGGGTAAATTGAGTGAGAAAATGTATGTTGCATGCCTGGCACATAGTTGGGACTCAGTTAAGGCTGATTATCTTGTGCTGTCTTCCCCCGAGCACTCAGACAGACTGATGCTCATGGTTCCTCAAAAGAGTGGAGGAGGAACTTTAAGTTTCCCTGAGTGGAACTGGAAGCACAGGGATCACTGATTGTCGCGTGGTCTTTAGACCAGACTGGTCAGTGGAGAATGGCGGATGATGCCATGCTGACCTCAGAAGGGTGGGTGGCAGCTTAACTCAAGTGATTTTTTTCAACACATTCTCATGACTGGTTGCCCCATTCCCCATCATTCCTCACCAAGCCTTATTTTTCTGAGATGCAGCTTGGTTCCATCAAACTCCTTCCCTCCAGCTTGTGCCCTGGGGTACAGTGATCAGAGCTGGAAGGTCTTGAAAACATCCCCCACCCCATTATCGCCTGGAGGGTGCCTCATCATTCACTCAAGATGAATCAGGCCTACAAAGGAACAAATTCCGAGCTTCTTCTCCGTGTGCACAGGCACACTGTCATCATTCATGATTCTGTCTCTGCTCTCAGAGCTCATTCTGCTCTAGACACAGATTTCCATGCTCAGCTTCCCTCTATAGGATTCTCCTCCCCTCATCTCTCTTTTATTCAGCCAGCAATTAGAATTGATTATTGTTTCAGCCATTTTTTTCTTATTTTTTTCCTTAATTAAACTTTTTTTTTTAATGAAGGTGAAATGGGCACATATTTCAGAAGTCAAATAGAACTGAAAGACTTAGAACAAAAACAGTAGTTCCTGCCATCCTGGGGGGGTTCTCTACCCAGTCTGTGTTAGAGCACGTGTTTCCTAGATCCCGTTGCCTCCCTGTCTATTGGTTTGCTCCTTTATTCTGATGGAGTAGCTCTTCCATCAGCTTCCTGTAAAAGTACAACAGGGGTCAGTTTTTAGAAACTTTACACACCTGAAAATGTTTTTATTCTCCCCTTACACTTAATTGATAATCTCTCCGAATATATAACGGAATTGAAAATCATTTCCTTATAGAATTGTGAAGACATTTTTTTATTGGCTTCTAGCACCAAAGGTTTTTATTGGGGAGTCTGTTGTCCTTCTCTTTGCATATGACCTGTTTTTAATCTCCAAGACCTGGGGCTCTGAAGTTTCACAGGGATCATTCAATATGGGTCTTTTCTCATTCATGGTACTTGGTACTTAGTAGATCCTTGCAATCTATGAACACCTGTCTCAGGGATAATTTCCTGTGTTACACCATGGCTAATTTTCTCCCCACTATAGTCTTTTTTCTCTTTATTGACCTCCTGTTAGTTGGATGTTGGACCTTTTGCTCTGATCTTTCCTTCTCTTGTCTCTTTTCTCCTGTTATTTCTTAATCTCCTGTTATTCTTTCTAAAAAACGTTCTTTTATCTTACCTTCAAAACTGTATATGAAATAACCAATTTATGATTTACTTTTTTAAATCTTTGGGATCTGGTTCTTATATGAAAAGAACTTCTTACAGTTGCTTCTTTAAAAAAAAAAAAGATTTATTTATGAGAGAGAGAGAGAGAATGTGCAAGTGAGGAGAGGGGCAGAGGGAGAAGGTCAAGTAGATTCCCCACCAAGCCAGGAACCCCATGTGGGGCTTGGTCTCAAGACCCTGAGATCCTGACCTGAGCCATAATCAAAAGTTTGATGCTTAACCAAGCCACCTGGGCTCCCCTATCCTATGACTGCTTCTTATAATATCCTACAAGATACTATCATTTTGCAGTTAATACCATTCTAATATCTTTAAGGTAGGTTTTTAAATTTTTTTCCTCTTTGCTTCATTCTCTTCATTTCTTTCATGTGTGTGTTCATGCCAGTGGAGATGTTCCAGGAATGTTAAGTGATCCCTAACCATTCACATTTAGAAGAGAAGTGCTAAGGGGCCGGTTGGAAGTCTTTGTGTGGGACTGTCAACAAAAAAGTCATCAGGTCACCAATCAGCCTTTCTTTAGAGGATTCCCAAAGGCAAGATCTGGAATCCTTTTCTCCAGAGCCATTCAGTTTCTCAGGGTAAAAGACTCCTCTCTGCTGATGTGCCAGTGATAGGCATTCTGGGGAGTGCCCACTAAGGATTTGACTAGAGAAAGCTGATGGTCACCTTGTTTCCAGCCCTGTGCCTCTCTCCTGATCTCTGCTGAGCCTGGCAGCCCCTTATCTAGGGTCTCTCCAGTTCATTTTCTCTGAAGAGTAAATTTCTGTTCTCTTGTTGGAGAGTTGATTGGAAGGGGTGGGACCTGGCAGGGGCAATGGTGAGTCATCTGGCTGTGTAAGGTCCTAGTGTTGACCTTTGGGTCCAGCTACCACATGGGAAGACTTTCAACTTTCCCACTACGTTTAGCCTTCACCTCACCCATGACCTTTGCAGCTTGAGGTAGCTCCAGGTGCCCTGCTTCTCAGAGGTTTTGTGGTAGGTCAGCTCCTTGCCCTGCATTTAACACTTCTACAGACACATTCTGTATTCTGAAAATATGTTCAAGTCTCATGTTCACACTGTATCAGTTGGGATGCTACAGGTGCAAGTGGCAGAAAATCTAGTCTTCCTAAATGTTTAAATAATTAAAAATTTTCTTACCACACGGGACAAGAAGTCCAGAGGTGAAAGGGCACCAGTCCCCAAAGATGAGGAATCAGCTCTCGTTCTCTGCCTTTCTTTTACTCCATCCTCTTCTGTCTTCCAGTTTCATCTTCAAAATTTGTAGCAAGATGGCAACTGCACTTCCAGGGACATCCAGAAGAAGGTGGAGACAACTTTTTCCTTGTGTCTCATTATAAAAGTGAGAAAAATCTTTGCAACCACCCCCCCCCCAGAAAAAAATGTTTATGTATTTCTCATGCCCTTTTCCAAACCAATCATTAGCCGGATGAATGAGATTTCCATTATTGGTTTAGGGGTTAAATGGAGGCTGGGAGTAACTACCATAAGGATCGCTGTATTTCTGCTGATCTCTTTGTTCTTCAGAGCCATGCCTTTTTGATCCCTTTACTGTGATTTTAGTAGTGTTTTGGGAGGATGAGGAGATAAGCGTGTTCAGTCCATGTGGCCCATATAACAGGAAGTTCCTCAACTACTTCCTTACATGTATCTGTACTAGTAGCTCGCTTTCTGTTTTTTTTTCTGTTGTTGTCGTTGTTGTTGTTGTTTACTTTTTGTTATGAAATTTTACCCACATACAAAAAAGTAGAAGGAATAATAAAATGAATACCTGCATACCTAGTTTTAACAGCTGTAATATTAATATCTTGCTATTGTATTCACTTTATCTACATTTTCTGGTGACACATTTTGACATAAATTGCAGATAACATGGCATTTCCCCTCTAAAGATTTCCAAATGCATCTTTAAAAAGTAAAGATATTTTCCTATATAACGAAAATGCTATTAATCTCACTTAACAAAACCCAGCTCACTTTTATCTCCTGCAGGACAAGGAGGCCCTATCACCATGGAGAAGGCCTCAAAAAGAGCTTGCTAGAAATTTTGGAAAAAATGTCAATGTCCATCAATAGACTAGTTAAGTAAGTTATGATATATCCTTACTACGGAATATTGGGGAATATTAAAAATGATGATACGGGGCGCCTGGGTGACTCAGTGGGTTAAAGCCTCTGCCTTCGGCTCAGGTCATGATCTCAGGGTCCTGGGATCGAGGCCCGCATCGGGCTCTCTGCTCAGCGGGGAGCCTGCTTCCCCTCCTCTCTGCCTGCCTCTCTGTGTACTTATGATCTCTGTCAAATAAATAAAAATCTTTAAAAAAAAATGATGATATAGTTCTACACATTGAAAGATCTTTACAACATCACTAGGCTGGGTGGGGGGAAGCACATCTCAAAATAGTATGTACGGTGCGATCCAGTTCTTGCTTAAAAACGTGTGTGCTGTGTATGCACAGTAGAGAAATCTGGAAGGATATAAATCAAAATGGTAATAACACTTGATCTTGAGTGGCAGGATTATGGGTGCCATTTTCTCTCTTTGCATGTTTCAGCATTATCAAAATTGTTTCAGTGTTTGGGTCTCCAGCTGTAAATAGGCAATAATGTTGTTGCCCCTTCTGATACAGGAGAGTAGGCCTCTAGGAGTGCACTTGAGGTGATGTATTCTCTGGATGATACACGTGGAACATGCAGAATGAATGGCATCCTTGCTTGCTTAAATACAGGAAGATGACAGTCAATAAATTGTCACACCAACAGAGTTCTTATAGTGACACTGCAAACTACCTGTGGCCTTGTTTTTGGTTTCTTGTGGATTTTGTGTGTGTGTGTGACAAAATATACATAAGGTGTATTTACCATTTTAGCCATTTCTAAATGTATAGGTTCGTGGCTTAAGGACATGCACATCGTGGTGTGACTGTCACCACCATCCATCTCCAGAACTTCTGTCATCTCGTAGAGAGACTCTGCACCCATCCCCAGTAGCTGGTAACCACTGTTCTACTTCCTGTCTCTGTGAACGTGACTACTGTGGGTATCTCACATAAGTGGAATCATACAATCGTCGTCCTTCGTGATTGGCTTATTTCACTCAGCGTCAGGTCCTCAAGGTTCATCGGTGTTGTCGTGTGTCCAGATTTCCTTCCTTTTTAGGACTTAACTGATAGTCCATTGTATGGCTATACCATAAATGTGTTTTATCCATTCATCTATTTATTGATGGACGTTCAGATTGTTTCCACCTTTGTGGCTTTGCTTTTAAAGGACTGTTTTGGCGATCGATTTGAACTTAGCTGTTTGACCCCTGGACAGCACTGAGAGTGAAAATGAGGGAGACGGGAGAGCAGAATGCAGAAAGCCCATTTTTTTTAAAGATCTGGATTTTGGGGTGCCTGGGTGGCTCAGTCAGTCAAGCGTCTGACTTTGGCTCACATCCCGATCCCAGGTTCCTGGGATCGAGTCCCGCATCAGGCTCCCTGCTCAGTGGGGATCCTACTTCTCCCTCTTCCTTTGCCTGCTGCTCTGCTGCTTCTGCACCCTCTCTCTCTCTTGCTCTATTAAATGAATAAAATCTTTTTTTAAATAAAGGATCTGAATTTTTTTTTCCTCCCAAACTTCTTTTTCTCCCTGTATTTCTCCCCAGTCACCTTCTGGAAGTGGAGAAGCAGGAAAAACAACTGCTAGCTAACTCTGACTATTCCTCCTTTAGGTCTTTCACTGGTAGCGACGTGTTTGGTTTGTTTTTGCTTTCTCCTTGTTTTGGTTTTTTGCTGCTCGTGAAACCCGCGGTACTTCCTCCTGTGGCGTTGCTTTTCAAGCTTAGCTGTCATCCAGATGACATCTGCTGGATTGTTCATACACAGGGAACACATTCATTCCTTCAGCGAGAAACACAGTTCTGCAGCACCTACTGTAGGCCAGCCATGCCAGCCTGTGGTTCTAGTGGTTTGTCAAAAGTTAAATGGAAACATTCATCCTCAGAAGATATGATTAAACAACATGTGGCATGATACTAAGAAACCCAGCCTGAGCTCTTAGATGGCTCAGTTGGTTAAGTATCTGCCTTTGGCTCAGGTCATGATTCCAGAGTCCTGGGGTTGAGCCCTGTGTTGTGCTCCCTGCTCAGCAGGGAGTCTGCTTCTCTCTCTGCCCCTCCCCCCAGCTAGTGCTTTTCCCTCTCTCTCTCTCTCTCTCTCTCTCTCATAAATAAATAAAATCTTTAAAAAGGAAAAGAAAAGAAAAAGAAACACATCTGGGGACACCTGGCTGGCTCTGTTGGTGGGTCCATGGTGGAGCATGCATTTCTTGTTCTCAGGGTCATGAGTTCAAGCCCCACATTGGGTGTAGAGCTTACTTTAAAAAAGAAAAAAAAAATGGGGGGGATAAAAGGAAACAGATCTAACTGTGGGGTAAGAGACTTCTCCCCCATCAATGGGACAAAGACTTTTTCCATGCCAGTGTGTTAATTTCATAAAGCTGGAGTTTAGTAGCTAAAACCAAGTGTGGGGCCATCTTCCCTTGTGACTGATATTTCGGTAATTGGTTTGAAGTTGTTTACTTGGTTGATCTTCCTGTCAGGTTCCACTTCCAGGAAGAAGCAGCTACATGACGAGTACAAATTACTTATATGCAAACGGATGAGTTATAACAATTCGTTAGAGGACTGGTTTTAAGTTAATTCTCTCTTACTGTATTTTATGTTCCACTTACATGGTTGGAATTTTCCCTGGTGCCTGGACTTAAGCAGGGCAGAGCCTAAGCGCCCCTGGATCACTGTAGAAAGCCCGTTGATCCCTACCTGCTCTCAGCCTGAAGTTTTCTCTCGTGTAAATTTACCATTGGCCCGCCTTCCTTGATGTATCGAGAGAGCGGATCAGTCTGCCTTCGGAGCTCCCTTCAACCCAGTGGGTCTTCCTCCCTCCGCCAAGTTCATTCTGTTCATTCTCTCTTGCCCTCAGACCGTCTTCTGCAAATAGCATCAGCAGCAGCACATCTTCAAACCACAGCGGCTACGGCCCGGAGCCCCCCCTGCCCCCCGCCGGAGGGGACCTCACCAGCCGGCTGTCGAGTGATGAAGGGGAGATGGATGGAGCTGACGAACCCGAGAAGTTAGACTGTCATTTCTCTACCCACCACCCCAGACCTCTTGCGGTAGGCCACCGTGTTTCCACCCATGTGTTTTCCGCCCCCTCCCCCGGTGCCCCGCACGCGTTTAGGTCGCCCTGCCGGCCAGCGCCCATTCCTGAGGAGAGGCTGCCAAAACAGTGGTTGATGGAAAGGTTTACCCTGAGGTTGAACGACTGCCTTCAGTTTAACCTTGAACGTCCCAGAAGGAAAGGGCAGGGCTCCCACCTGGTTATAATCTTTTAAGCGTCTGAGTAGCCGTGGTCCACCTTGCAGCGAGAAGGCCTGAGAAATGGTGTTGATGTAAGTGCACTGGGCAGCTGACCTTGCGGCTGTACCCGGCTCAGAATGGAGCCTCTGGTTTCCAGAGTCCGTCTAGCTCACCTCCTTTGGAAACCGTCTGTCTTAGCAGTACGCCAGGTGCCAGCCCTAGCTGCTTTTCTCCCCTGACGGTGCTGAATTTTATTGTTATTAGTAAGTATGACCATATGGCACCAGAACTGAGAAAGAATGTGTGTGTGTGTGTGTGTGTGTGTGTGCGCGCGCGCGCGCGCAAGGAGAGGAGGAAACATTGCACATCAGCATGATCACTGGTTAAAAAGTCCAATTCCTTGAAAGAGTCTTATTTCGACAGTTCAAAAGGTCATTGAAATCGAGGTGGGAAGTGTCAGGAGGCATGAGCTAAAGGCTTTTTTACATTTGCCCTACAAGCACTTAAGAAGGGACTTCCTGGCTACCATCATGTAGCCAAATTCAGGGGGGCCTGGAACGTGGGACCCCATGGCCTGTTTGCTCTGGTCCCAGCTGGAGCCCTGCAAGGTTTCCTTTGACTATCCCTAGATGTCATGGGCTCTGTAGGGACAATCAGTCCTGTACTGGGGCTCCTGGCTGGCTCAGTGAGTGGAGCATGTGACTCTTGATCTCGGGGTTGGGAGTTCGAGCCCCACACTGGGTTTAGAGATTACTTAAATAAATAAAATCTTAAAAAAAAAAAAAAGTCCTGCAACAAGATAGAGTGAGTGCCTCCTCCCTTCTATCTGTATGATGGATAAAGGCCAAATTCACTTCCCATTTCTAGGGATGATGGTGACCTGTGGTTCACCAACACCCTGAGACTTTGCTGCTTAGACAATGCAGAAATAGGGATGGGGAGGAATGCCTCTGATTGCCAGGAACAGAATGTCGAAGTCATGTATAGTGTATACCGCAGTCATTGGTTCATCTTATGGAACAAGAGGTCCAGAGGTAGGTGGTTGCCTCCTTGGTTCAGCACCTCCGTAATATGGTACTACTCAGCGAGAATCTCTCAAACCTCTTTGCCTGTCATCCATGGTCCCCTGTGCCTGTGACAGCTCCCATGTCACACCCTCACCCACAGGCATTCTCCAAAGGCCAGAAGGGGACAAACAGAAAGGGAGTCTTCTTCTAAGGTGCTATCTTATATCATTTCTTAAGGAAGGAAAGTTTCCAGTGAGCTCCCCCAGCAGGCATCTGCTTCCGTCCAACAGAAAAGGGTGACGAACCCACCCCTGCACCAGCTGGGGGCTCAGGACGAGGGGATTGCAGTGACACAGGACGAAAGTAGCCATGGTTCATCTCAAGGTTCTGGGAAGGGACTCCCATACACACCCCCACCCCATTCCCTACTCCCTGTTCCGTCAGATACCGGAACAAAAGGGAGGCTCCATTAGGCAGGAAAAGGTGAGGGGAGAAGTATGGGTGGGCTGGCAGCAGAGCCAGCCACGGTGGCTGGGGCATTGAGGACCCCCAGCGCCATCTAAGGCACGATGGGTGGCAGAGAACAGGAGCCTCTTGGGTGTTAACCTTGCGTCGGTATCGAATTAGAGACATGGGTAGCAAAGACAATAGGGAGCCTTCAGCTTCTGAGTTTGAAAGGGAGCCTGGGCTCTACCAGAAGGCCAGACTCCAGAGCCTGGGATGTTTGTCCAAGTAACAGGCTGCCAGGCTCCAGTGGCTTAGCTCAACTCTGGGCATGGCGGATTTGTGTGCCCTTCATGTTTTGCTGATTTAAATGTAAAGCCCATGGACTGTTTCCTTGCTTTGTCCTTTTCCTCATGGTCAATTGTTACATTAAATCACTTTTTGTCATGAACGGTCACTCAGGGTGTCTTTAGCAACTGGGACGAAGGAAGAAAAGATGTCTAGACCTGGAACAGCTCCCACATGCTGCTGGGGACCGGCTTCCACGTTGGCGAATCCCTTTTGTTTATTTTCTTGCTCCGTCCGTAAGCACTTGATAGGAAAGTGCAGGAAAGAGTTTTTCATCAGGATTGCCAGATTTGACGGGTGACAGAATTTTCATGCAAAGCCCCCAAAACATAAGCAAAAACAAAACAAAAGCAAGGTCTTGCATTTCCTCCTAAGAACCGTTCCAAAGGCTGGTTCCAGGAAGGTTTTGTGGAATGAGTGTCAAAGCCTCTGCGTCTGGGATGGAGGCCAGGGAGCTGCCGGGAGGTCTGGGGAAAGGGGGAGAAGCTGTATCTGAGTTAGAGAGTCTTCTGCAGACTCGCCTGAGCTCTAGACCATCCAAATGTCACCTTCTCAGAGGTTGCTTCTTGAATTTCTGTCTGCAGGTCTTCTGGTTGCCCTGACATTGTAATCCAGTGACATTCGTTAAACATCTTACAGCACATACTTCAGCCACATGTTTTAAATGTGACGATTTGCTTTAAAAAACATTTTGTCGGACCTTGTCTCTGCAATCCATTCTTTATCCCAGATCTCTTCCCTACTATCCTCACACTAAGGAGGAAGAAGAGAACGAGGCTTCCAGCCTTTATACACTTAAAATCAAGCAAAGCACATATATTTACATAGAACATAAAACAGCCAATTCCAAGGTGACATGTAATAATGCATGCGATAGGTATGCGGTGGGAGCTAAAGGCATGAGGCTGGTCACATAAGAGCCACTGGAAATGAGAGTCTTGATTAGGCCACTGGGGGAGGGGAGAATTGGGACTCCAAGAGAAGAGGGAAGAAGATAGGGAACAGCATGAACGAGCCAAGGGAACAGCATGAACAGAAGCGTGGTGACGGTGATGTGTCACAGGGCAGCCCAAAGTGCGGAGAGGTGGACATGAGGTTGGGACTGGGGAAGGAAGGAGTTTATAGCCTCCCTGGAAGTGAAATGGCTCTGTTGGCAACAGATGGGAAAGCTCTGACCAGTTGGCGGACTGTGTCAGGACAAACAGTGTCCATTACTGCAGGGAGGAGCAGGGAACCACCGAGTCCCTGGAGAAGACGGATGATATACCATAAGCAGGCAGTGCTGAAAAACCCTCCCCACTGCTGGTTTGGTTTGGTTTGGTTTGTGTGTTTGTTTTTAACCTATAATACTGGCTCGATCCCGGGTGTAGAGAAGGTAGCCCTCAGGGCCACAGAAAACTGAATGTCACTACTGTCGAGTCCTAACGCAAGGTTCTGCAGAAAATCTAGAGCACAGCCGAGAGCACCACAGAAATATTTTTGGCTTCAGTACTATTTGCTTCTTTATTTTGAGTAAAATTGTACCCCTGTGTGTTTTTGTGCAAATGTTATTTTTCTCTGCATGGTTTATATTAGCTTATTAACCTGTAATCAAAATTAAAATGTTTTTTCCCCTCACAGTTTTGCTCATTCGGGAGTCGCCTCATGGGACGAGGGTACTATGTGTTTGATAGAAGATGGGATCGTTTTCGATTCGCACTAAACTCCATGGTAGAAAAACACTTGAATTCACAGATGTGGAAGTAAGTGAGCCGTTTTTGTGCAATATACGCTCAGAGCTACCCCGAGACTGTCTGAACCCTAGCTTTCTGGATGAATGTGGTAGTTGGCTTTTCATGGAACAAAATGATTCTGAAATCGGGATCCCTGCTTAATTCATAAGTACCAGGTCTTCTTAATGGCTTTCCGACAGTTTCTCAGAGACGCGTACGACATGTGGTATGCCTTGTCCTCTTTAGAGATCATTTTTGCGTTGGTAATCTTCTAAACTAAGTGAAAAAGGCATTAGATAAGATCTCGTCTACTTAAGACTGTTAAAGGGCCTTTTTGCTATGACTAAGAACACTAAGGATACTAAGTATATGCCTCTGTCTGTAATGTTAATGCTACAATGTCGATACTAAAATTTTCACAATGGTTATGGACCAATTTCTAATTGTTTAATGTCCTGTGAGAAAAATACATATGGCGGCCAACAGGGCGGGTCCTGAGTGATGTTGGAAGTTGGTTAAGCTTGTCTTTGGCCCTTCCCGCCTGGCTAGAGCTCTCTCCTCACCTCTCCCTGTACTTCTCTGGCCCCTGCCCCAGCTTATGTTCCATTTCTCTGAGCCCCCTTTCTTCTCCAGCACCTCCCGATGTATTTACATCTTAACAGGAGACTCATAAAAGAGGGGAGGAAACTTCCTGCCTTAGCCAAATGCCCTTGTGAAAGAATGACAAGCTAAACCGGCTGAGAATGCACGGCCAGCCCGCACCCCAACTCCCACAGAAGTGAGCCCGTAGGACATCATAATCCACTAGAGTCATGGACCCCTCAGGGCTGGGCCCAGGTGGGTCAGGAAAGCCATGGGTGAATCCCAAACCCCACCCAGGGAAGCCGGGGAAAAGCGAGAAGGCGTTCCTGAGAATGGTGCAGCGAGGGGACACGGGAACAGAATTCAGAGCTGACCCGTGTCCCAGGCAGCTGTGGCACCTCAGCCCCTTTCCACTGTGATGCCCAGAGAGCCTCCAGACCCAACCTTCTAGCCGAAGCCAGCCCCACGGGGTGTGCGGGCCGCTGTCCCAGTGGACTCCTTGGTGACACTTACTACCAAATAGGCAAGGGCCACAAGAGAAGCTTATCGCTTCTTCTCACGGAAGTGACAGCTCAGTGTGTCTGAAGGGCACCCTCGGTGTCTGCCTGTGACTGCCCTAAACAGCCACCACTGGACACTGCGTGTGGGGTTCCTGGGTTCCCAGTGTTTGGGGGGTTGACCCTGGTGCGCTTGCTCCCCCAAGATGGCAGCCCGCCCCAGGGGTTCCCACAGCTCTTTGCGCTCCTGTGTGGTGGAAGTGTAAATCCCGGACACGTGGAAGGAATGTGTTGATCTGTATTTCGCTACCTGGTGTCCTGTCAGCTCAAGCTCCATATTCCTTTCCTCCTCAGGCACAGAAACCCGAGCCCCAGGGCGTCAGGTCCCTCCCCCCTTTTCAGGACTTGCCTAACCAATCTGCTGTCACTGAGCAACATTGGGGCTGCCTGGGTGTCAACTCTGGAGAGCGTAGCACCCCGCTGCCCTCTCAGCCTCGCTGCCCCAACCCCAGGCCCCGACGGGCCCGAACCTGGAGGCATGGCAGCCGATGGGGGCGTGGAAGACATTAGGAAGAAAAGGAACGGCCAAGACTCTTTTTTCTTTAACAAGCATTTAACTCTGCATCAGGAGACGCCAACACAGTATTCTCTTTCAGCCAGGTCAGCATCTGGAGCTCCATGCCAGCTGGCAGGGGAGGAGGGGCGCTGTCCGTAATTTATTCGCATCTGTGGGCTTTTGGATGGGACTTCCTAGGCCAGCGTGCAAAGTTGAAACCAGGGCACAGCCCGCAGAGCTGAAGTCCACTGCCATCCACCTAGAAAAACACATAAATTGTCGAGCCGGGGAGGCAGGGGCTTCCCGGGACAGTGAGCCTAACCACATGCCCCTCGCCCTGCTTCACCTCTGCCCTCTCTCTCCTCTGCCTCTGCCCTCCACTTAGGGCTACTGGGGAAAAGAAGACAAGGGACAGAAAGTAGATGAGGAAAATAGCATCCACCACCCCCATCCCCGTCCGGAGTGTCCCGAGTAAGACAGATGACTCCAGCCCTTGCTTGTCCTCGCAAGTCAAAACACACTCATGTGACTCAGTGGGAAAGTTACAAATCAGGGCATTCGGAGTCGATCCCGGTTAAGGCCATTGCTCGGGGTCCTCTCTAAAGGAGCCATCTGGTATCTGTAAATAACATTTGTTAACAAGTCACTGCCAAACCTCTGCCCGCATGTATTTCTGTCCCTACTTTAGCTGGTGAGAAACTGGAGTCAGGGAAAGACGGTGCGGGCTGGCGACAGACGGCAGGGAGAGGGAGAGCGTGCTAAGCCCGCACAGCCCGAGAAGTCTTCCCGAAAGTGTCAGGGTGGCATGTGCCTGCCAGACAGTTTGAAGGGCGTGTCCAGGCCTCCGGGGTCTGCTCTCCTGGGAGTCCCTTCCCCGCATGCATAGTAATGTTGCTGCTGAGAACTCACCCGCTCACCTGTCCGCCCTCCCATCCATCCATCCATTCATTCACTCATCGGTTCATTGCAACAAGTACTGAGGAGCCCTGGCTGGGTGCCGACAGGACCTTTTATGTCCTTTGGGCTTAAGAAAAGGTAGATTTTTGAACGCCATCACGGCCACAGTGGATTTGGCAACATTTTTTCTCTTATATTTGATCCGTTTGGTCTGATGTTTTCAAGGACCCTGTGCTGCTTCTGTATTCAAGGATTCCTTTGGATTCCACCCTAAAGATGGAAGCCGTAAGCTCCACCAGATTGCAGGCAGAAGACCGAGTCCTCAGGGCAGCGCTAGGAGAGGAATGTCCTCCTTGGTGGGGCCTCTTTGGGGAGTCCAGGGGCACCCCGTCCTGCTGCTCCAGCTGAGAGGGTGGCCAAGGAGCCAAGGAATTTCAAGAGGCCGAGAGGCCCCATCTCACACCTGCTAGAAGCCTGGGGGTGCAGGTCCCAAGTCTCCCCACCTGCCAGTGCTGCTTTCAAAGAAAGAGTGCTAGTTCCTGACTGCTGGGAGGTGGGAGGACTCGGCTCCCCTGAAAATGATTTCCAGGGAAGCGGGGAGAGGAGAGCGAGGGGAAAGATAGGAAAGCGCCCGTTTGAAAATATTCACCTGGTTCCTGAGGTCAGTATCCTTTCTTGCCCCCAAAAAAATCAGGAACAAAGGGTGACCCCAAGGCCCCTGTGCCCCTCCCAGTTCCCAGAGTAGCGGCGACACCGAGCCAACCATGGTTTGGAGGTGAGAGTCAACAGACGGAGTTGACAGGATGGCCTCAAGAGTGACCTGCCACCTGGTGCTGGCCTGGGCTCCCCAACCTCCTGGAAGAACCCCGCCCCGCCCCACCCCCTGTGTTTTCCTGTGCCCATATCCTGCATCTGTCTTCAGAACAAACTGGAAATTCCTGACCCCCTGGTCGGGATCCATGGGGGTCGCTGTCCTCTCACCCCATCCTAACCCAGGGGCAGGAAGACCTGTGTGAGGGCCGCCGCACCCCCATCATAGCTCCTCAGAGTGAGAGCTGAGGTTGGGTGCGGTGAATAAGAATAAATGGGAGCTGGCAGCCCCAGCCCTGAGCTCACGTGTTCATGCCTCTCTGCAGAATAAAGCGGAGGCAGCAGACAGCAAAGGCAAGAGGATACTGGCCTGCCAGCGGAGGGGGGAGGCAGGGGAGGGTTGGGCAGAGGACAGGAGGGGCTGGGAAGCCCCGAGAGGCAGTGTGCAGGGCTGTCCCCCCAGGTACAGGTGGCAAAGCCCTGTCCTCACACTTCTTACATCAAGCCAGGACCTACCTGTGAAATGAGTGCTTCTCAATAAAAATCACCGTCATCGCTGCCAAAAAAAAAAGAAAGAAAGAAAGAAAGGAAAAGAAAAAGAGGGAGAGAGAGAGAACACTGTCGGGGAAATTTTTATTCTAAATAACATTCGCCTTTATTCATGAACCCAAATCGGCCATTATCCGGTAGCCAAGCATGGAGAAAAGGATCTGAGAACCTGAAAGTGACTCAGACTAGGTTGCTGGCTGTTGCAATGGGGGGAACTGCAGGGAAGGGCCATAATTCAGAGTCCGCCATCCTCCAAGGCTTCATCTTCCATAGTGTGGTTCGACCCCGGGTTTCCGTGGAGCCCTGCCGCTCACACGTGCTCGAGCCTCTGGAGCGCTGCCAAGCCTGTTTCTCACGGTTTCTCTTTCACTCTTCTCTCATGTTTAGGAAGATCCCTCCTGCGGCAGATAGCCCCATGCCCTCGCCAGCAGCCCACATCACCACCCCAGTTCCAGCATCCGTTTCCCAGCCTTTCAACAACCCCAGTGCCGTGTATCTTCCTTCAGCTCCCATCAGCTCGAGACTCACCTCTTCCTACATAATGACATCAGCCATGCTCTCAAACGCACCTTTTGTGGCGTCGCCGGACCCGAGTGCCCTCATGTCACACACCACAGCTTTCCCCCATGTGGCTGCAACCCTCAGCATCATGGACTCAACCTTCAAGGCCCCACCCGCCGTGTCCCCGATACCAGCCGTCATCCCTTCCCCATCCCACAAGCCATCCAAAACCAAAACCAGCAAATCCTCAAAAGTCAAAGACCTGTCCGCCCGTAGCGACGAGTCTCCAAGTAACAAAAAGAGGAAGCCGCAGCCTTCGACTTCCTCCTCCTCCTCCTCCTCCTCCTCATTAACCCTGCCGACATCCCTCTCGTCTCCATTGTCAGGGCCCCACAGAAAGAACTGTGTCTTGAATGCCAGTTCAGCCTTGAACTCCTATCAGGCGGCCCCTCCCTATAACAGTCTGTCTGTGCACAACTCAAACAATGGGGTGAGCCCACTCAGTGCCAAACTGGAGCCCTCAGGACGGACCTCGCTGCCCGGCGGCCCCGCGGACATAGTGAGACACGTGGGCTCGGTGGGCGGCAGCAGTGACTCCTGTCCCCTCTCTGTGCCCTCCCTTGCAGGGGACCTCTCTCTGGCCTCACACAATGCCGTGTCTTCGCTGCCCCTCTCTTTTGACAAATCAGAAGGAAAAAAGCGTAAGAACTCGAGTTCTAGTAGCAAAGCCTGTAAAATCACTAAAATGCCTGGTATGAATAGCGTTCACAAAAAGAACCCTCCCAGCCTTCTCGCACCGGTGCCCGATCCCGTTAACAGCGCCTCCTCTCGGCAGGTAAGGGACCCGTGCTTCTGGGGGCCTCCTGGCTCGGCCTTCGTGGGCTCTAGGGGACGGAGCGGGCCGGGCCAGTCAGCGCCCCTGCTGAGCGGGGTGGCTCAGGTCAAGACCAGAGCGGCCTCTGTTCTGAGGATGGTTTAGTGAACACATACTGTAGGTGGCTGTCGCTGTGTGCTGGGCTGTTCGAAGCACTGTGCAAATATCACTTCATTTAAACCCCGCCACCCAGAGCGGTTGGTGCGTTTGTTATCACTGCGTTACAGATGAGGAAAGTGAGGCACGGGGGGATGCTGAGTTCCCCCGCCACTCCTGTCTCTTCTGTATCTTGAGCTCTGAGGACGACTGCATTAAATCTGATCTCCGGGAAGGGCCGGAAGCCCAGGCAGGCTCAGTGATAGGCAGTGGGGGGCGAGGGTTGGGGGGAGCCCCTACCTGGGATGTGGTGGCTGGTGCTGCTGCCCCCTGGGTGCCTGAGCATTCCCGCTTCTCACCCCAGCCGGCCCAGACGTGTCCAATGATGCCGCAGTGCAAGTAGGAGGGCGTACCGTGAGGAAGCCTGGGAAGATGGGGCGAGAAGAGTCCAGGCTCAGGCATCCTCAAGCCTGGTCTTTTCCGGTGGGGGGGCTATTTGGAGAGACTCCACCCCCTCCTGGTGCTGCTTCTTGGGCGTCCAGAAGGGGTTGGAGGTGGCAGAGGGCCACACTCACAGGCCTGCCTCAGAGCCTGAGCCCCACAGCCCGGACGGTGGGCTGCGGCTGCCCAGGTTTAGAATTAAGTGGGCCGGACCCTCGGCCCATCCCTGTGTGGGGATGAGGACTTTGGAGAGATGAGAGTTCGTTGTTAAACAGATGTTTTAATGTTTTATGTCATGTTTAAACTTGTTAAAACTCCACAAAGAGAGCATCTTGAGGGGGATTCATAAATCACAAGTAGACACATGAGAGACAGCCCGTTTGGGTCCCAAGGGCCAGACAAGCTGCACAATGAGGCCAAGGTGAGGCTGGGGGAGATGTAGGTCCTCTCGCTGGAGCCCGGGACGCTCACACCCATCTGCAGCTGCGGCAGGAGTCCCACTGTTCTGACCTCCGCACCGTCAGTCATGTAGGGGAGGCGGGCTAGCACCCACAGGTCCCTCTCCAGAGACTACTGCTGATCCCGGCCACCTTCAGGCCTCAGGATGATGAAGAGCAGAACCAGCACTTCTGAACTTGAATGTGTAACAGGAATCCCCTAGAGTTGTATATTCGAGCGGAGTGGAGGGTCTTATTAAGATGCAGACCGAGTCAGCTGGTCAGGGGTGTCACTGCATTGGGTTCCAGGTCTGATAACAGGGGGCTTGTACTCACAACGCCATCCCTCCTGCAAGATCCAGATTGCAACAGTCAGGTATTTACCGACTGAGCCGTCCAGGCGCCCCCTAGTGGCACCCGTTTTAGATAAAGTTCTAGGCGCCAACACTTAGGGGATGAGCTCTGTTCCAAGCACTTCAGATATATTCATTCACTTAATTATTACCTTACCCCCCATTTTACAAATGAGTAAACCGAGGCACAGGAAGGTTAAACAACGTGCCCAAAGTCACACAGCAAGGAAATAGTGGGGCAGAGATCCAAACCCAGGCACTCTGGCTCTGGAGTCTGGGCCCTTAACCTCCATGCCTCTGTGTTCAGGGAATGTCTCTGTACTGAGTCAGCGATGTCCTCTTTGCCCTTGGGTCAGCAGGACCGTAAGAAGTGTTTAGCTAACACAATGAATTAGTCAAAGCGAGGGGTGAAAGGAACAGACAGGTCTCTACCTGAGCATCTATCAAGAGGGAAATTAAAAAAAACCTGATGCCTTGAACAGCTGCCTCGGGTCTAGCTCGCACTGGCTCTCGGATGCGAGTGATACCTGGGTGCTTGTCACCGGGTCATTTAGAAAAGCCTTTGTCTAGGGTCACCCCCCAGGGATGTCCAAGTGCTGGGGAAAGGCCTTTGCAATCTGTGTGGATCCTTTTAGGAGACAGGGAGAAGCATGACCTAGGTTGAGAAAGGCAGAGTAAACGTGCTTTGGGAACCAAATGGGGATCTATCTAATTGTATCTGGTAGGTCTAAGACCAGAATTTCTCACAGAGGTAGTAAATTGAGCAAAAAAACAAGGCTGCGAGTATAAGGCAGACGTCTTTCTGCAAAGGCAAGTTAACAGAGAGGATGAGCTCTTTATAGGCCCAAGGAGCTGCCTGTAGGCAGGGTACTCACCTGAGGAACCCGCCCACCATGTGCGCACCCAGGACGCAGAGGAAGGGGAGGAGCCCGGCGGCCACACCCACAGCCGCCCCGCCCCCTCACTTGGCTAGTTTCCTGAAGAATAGCAGGTGTTCGCTGCATCCGGTGGCCAGGAAAACGCAGCCAGAATAAGAGGCAAGCTTCTATCCTGAGCTAGTCCCAGGGAGTCTGGGCTGGGAGCAAGACAGGTCTAGGACCGGTCTGGGAGGTCAGAGGTGGAGAAGCAGGGGCCTCTGCGGGGGTAAATGTTACCCCCACCCCCAGGAGGGGCGACGCCTCTCGCCAGACGCCTTCATCCTCACCCCCTGAAACTCACCGGCTACATCTGGGAAGCAGAATTAAGAGTTACCCACTATTCCGCTTTCCCTCTGGGATGGGAAGGGCGTCCTCAGGGTGTCCCCAGAGCCATTGGCGTCTTTTCCGCCATCTAAGAGGGAAACCCGAGCGGCTCATCACCGGAGGGCGCTTGTTGTACCCTGGGCGGCGCCGGATACCGGGGGTCTCTCGCAGCAGGCTGGCTGGTGGATCTGAGGGGGACTTCGCTGGTGTCTTTCAGGTCGGGAAAAATAGCAGCCTAGCTTTGTCACAATCCAGTCCTTCAAGCATATCCAGCCCAGGACACAGCCGACCGGTAAGTTACTGGGAAGGGGCTGGGGGTGGGGATACACGGGGTCACCAGCAGAGGGAGCGAGCTGTTGGGGCAGACCCTGACTCACCTCAGCTCCAGTTAAGAGCGTAGCTTCTTGGCTTCTAGAGCTTAGCCTTCTTGTTAGTAGCTGTGCGTCGTTGCCTAAGTTACTTAACTTCTCTGTGCTTCAGTTTCCTCCCCCACGACGGGGATCATAATGGCTCCTACCCCATATGGCTTTTGTGAGGACTAAATTAATTTATCTGCATAAGCCCTCTAGAAAATGCCTGACACAGACCAAACACTATAAGTCTTAGCCCGATTATTAATCACAGCCGTGTGGTATTAAGCAGGTTCCTTCTCTGAGTCTCAGTGTTTTCATCTGTTCAGTGGCAAAGGTGACGCCTACCTCCTAAGGTTATCGTGAAGATGAATGGTGTTGACCAGAAGGCCTTGCTTGGGGCACTGATCCATCAGTCCTTTCTCAAGGCCTCTGGTGAGCTGTGGCTGCTATTCAAGATGTGGTTTCATGGTAGGAATATTCAAGTTGGATCTAGAAGTTTCTACAAACTCAAAGTGCGAGAGTAGTCAGCGAACAGATGATTTTCTCCAGGGGAGTGTGTGTGCACCTCTGAGGGAGGCCAGGGAGAGTAGGCAGTGGGGTGAGGTGTGTTCTACATGACTGGAAAAAATACATGCACGGCTGTGTTGCATTATTTTCAATGTTGCAGAGGTTTTGTAGATACCAGATTGCAATATGCCTGCATTTTGACCTTTTGGGGCTTCTTCACCAGTGTTGGGTACCGTTCGAGTGAAGATTATGAGAAAATAGTTTTTGTATCCTTAGATCAAGGAGCGTCTCCACTAATCTGAGTCACTTTTTGTGCCTGAGGACCTGCAGTCTATCCTCTGTGCTGGGGGGGGGGGGGGGGGCGGAGTCATCTATGCCCTGGTAACCTGACCCCATTTGTGACTGGCCTCCTCCACAGGTTGCGCAGTGCACCTGTTGGCTACACGGTCACCCTTAACAGATGTAATAGTAATAAAATAGCATTTGTTGAGGCTTTTCTCTGTGGGTGCTGTGCTGAGCCCTTCAATTGTATGAGGGACAAATGATGATCCTCATGTTATAGGCTGAAGATGCCCAGAGGGAGAGGCTAAGAAACTTGAACCCAGAGCCTCTGTGCTTAACCTGTTATTAGACGTCTTCTTAGAGAATTCTCCCTGTGGTCTACAGGTTAGGTAGGAAAAGGTGAATTAAGAGAGGAAAAAAACAGATGGGCCCATTATTCCAGATCTCTCTGTAGTAGGGAATCCACCATTCATGTCTAGGAGATGTGTCCCTGTGTCTTACCCCCCAGAGAGGATCTGTGTGGCTGCAGGTGCAGGCAGCCCTCCACACCCGGCGCCTCACGTGCCTTTCACCGTGACCTTGGGCCCAAGGTGGCTCTGTATCACAGCCGTGGAAACTGAGCCTCTCTGCTCTTGAATTCTTGCGGGTCATCCCAAGTGTACGGTTTTTGAAACAAGCTTTTCTTTTCTTTCCTAGAAGACCACAAACCGAACGGGCAGGATAAGGACTCTTCCATAACAAGACTGTGAAGCCACTTGGAAACCAATGCCTGGCCACCTGGCCAAGGTGGGAGGAGGAGGGAGGGGAGCGCGCAGCCGGGGAGAGTCTGTTTCCTGCGCCGTGACTGTGGCTCGGGCCGTTCTTCTTCCTTTTTTAATTGACCAGTTTTTAGTTTTGAAGAAAGAGCAAAAGGCAAAAGAACGTGAATTTAAGATTTACAGAAAACAATACCAGTGTTCTGTTTGGGTTCTTTCATTTGCCTTGTGTATACGTTCTTCCAAGTTCGGGGTCGCCCCTCTAGCTTCCCATGCTGCTACTGCACCATCATTTCGCTCCAGCCATGAGCGCAGACATGGCCCAATGTCCGCTCCCGGTTGGCGTTGTCTGAAACTCTTGAACTTGAGCACGTGGTGCTCCTTTCCTCGACCTCTCCCACCCATCCCTTGCGTCCCCTCCCACCTGCCGCTCACCGGGTCCTCACTGGCCATGCAGAAGGAGCCGGCTCCCCCTTGGACAGTGTGCCGGGAGTGGGGCTTTCCTGGGGAAGAGCCTGTGTTTGGGGCGCTGAGAGCAGGGAGCCCCGTGAGGGCTGAGCGCGCTCATCAGGGTTCTGTGCCACACCAGCACTGTGGGAGCCAGATGCTATGAGCAAAACCGAGAAGGTGGCCGTTGAACTATGTCGTTTAGCCGATACCACTGTCCAGCTGTGCAGCTCAGAGAGGAGCTACAGGGTCAGGGACAGGGGCTGTAATGGGCCTGGAAGGTGACAAGAAGCAGAGCTTCTGCGTAGGGGAAGATACCTGTCAAAAGACAGAGGAAAGCCAGTGACTGATAATACGAGGTTGTTAGGCATCTGTGCAGCGGAATCCCTTCCAGGGTGTGGGTCTACAAGGATGCCAAAGCCAGGCGAACCAGAGGCGGAGAAATCCCAGGAAGGAGGGCAGGAGACCCAAGGAGGTCCCTCAGGGCTTGAGACACAACTTCCATGGTGCAAGTTCTTAAGCTGCCTTCCAGGGCTAGGCAAGAGGAGTAGAAGCAGGGCTGGGCGTGCAGGAAGGGTCTGAGGACAAACTTCCATGAAGGGTTAAGCAATAGACACCTGGGAGAATAAGTAACTTCTAGCCCTGCCCTCCCGCCTCGGAGCCCCCAGCCCCAGGGTCCCAGGCAGTCCGCACACCCATCAGTCAGCTTGTGCTAGGCTATCCCAAGCCCCAGCCCGGACACAGCCACCCCAGGGAGGTATGGTCAGCCCAGCTACCTACCCCTTAATGCAGAACTGTCTGGAAGTGTGGGAAGAGAAAAGCTAGAGCCCCACAGCTCTGCAACTGTTCACACTGGAGTTTTAAAAGAAATAGCAATAACCACAAGCTGTACTATGGAATGGTAATCAGGAAAGGAATTCACAATATGATATAGGCATCCTGTGCTATTAATCATGAAATTTTGTATACGATATATTAGCAAGAGAGACCAGGAAGTTTTGCTTCATCCCTAAATCAGAAATGAATGCCAGTTTCGCAGCTGGACCCAAACCTTCATCCCAACCCCGATGTTTCCCTTTTCCTTCCCATCCCCACAACCCAAAGATCAGACTACTGTTACGTTTCACCACATTGGATTTTGCGAAGACGGGAGGCAAATGGAGTGATTTGTATCAATGGAATTGCACTGACCATGTTTCTTATAGGATTCCTAAAATTTTTAATATAAAATGAAGATTTTTTTAAAAATCAGGAGTTGATATTAGGTACCAGGACATTAGTTCAGATGATTTCATTTTTATTTCTACAGTGTTAAAAGTGCACTTATATGCCGGTTTATTTACATCTTGAGAAAAAGAGACTACAAATTGAAGGGAAGATGGTTACTTTTTCTTTTTAAAAAAAAAATTAAGGCAGATTTTAAGACTTATAAAATGTTTAAGAAATTATAAACAGGTTAGACCCTTTGGAAAAAAAGTTTAGAAGATATTCTTAAAGTAAATTTTTATAGTGTTAATTTTGTAATAATTTATGTTTTACTATATTACAGAGCTAACTGACCAGAATAGTTTCAGAAACAATATGAAACGTAGGAAAGTTTAAGCAATGTTTATATTTTTAAAATGTTCTTTGAATTATGTTTTTATTGTACATTTCTTCAGACGGAAAAGTATGTACATATCTTTGTTATTTTTGCACAAATTTTGTCTCGTTCGGTTTTAGAAGTCTGTTTTTTTTATAATTTATTTTAAGTTGTAAAACTTGCAGGAGTAAAAAACAAAAAAAATAACAAAAAAATCTCAGCAACAAAATAACCCTCTGATTTATAAACTCTTAAACTCAAAAGAGGGAAAACAATGGTTGAGAGATTAAGTGGCTGCTTCTGAGAAATAATGTCTCGACAGGGACGAAAGGAGCAATTCAGTAGGCTTAAACATTTTAGCTGTCTGCGTCTTGAATTGCAAGCTGGAATAAAGAGGCTCCCCACCGAATGCTGCTTACTTGGTGAAAGACTGGCTCTGACCAAGGTGAGGACATTTCTGGAAAACTGAGCAAAAAGGGAAAACCCACGGTGTTTCTTCCTTCACAGTCAACCACAGGTTTACTTTATAATGATGTATTAAAAACTTACAGCTTGAAAAATGGAATGCAAATAAAAGGTTTTCTTTGGGTTTGTTTTAACGGAGTTCGACTGGACCAGCCTATAAAGCATTACTAGGGTGAGACCCTTTGGGTACTTCTGTTCTGCGCATCCCGCCCCAGCCCCTTGACCACACACACACACACACACACACACGCACACACACCATGCCCCCCTTCATTTGCCTGAAGATCTCATGACTTGTCGTCAGCCATAGAGGCTCGAAAGCTCTGGTTGTTAAGCATAACACAATGCATAGACCTGTCAGCCATAAAAAAAAAGAAAAAAAAAAGCGACTTGGATAACTTGTATGCCTTCTTTTGTATCAATGTACCAATTGTAAATAACGCTGATCAACCTTTGTAGAGAATAGTTTCTACAGCATATTCTATTATTGCTGATTCTCAGTGAACTCTTGTTTTAAAAAAGGAAAAAAAAATTTTTCTATTTACACCTTCTATTTTGTTATGCTGTCGGCCCATGGCACTTTAACAAAACTCTGTGGGTTTTACGTAGCTGGTCAGTCATGGGGTATATTCAATAACTGTTGTTGCACAGACGAGAATTTGCACCTGCTCATTTGTCCTTTCCTACTACCGATTTTAGAACCTTTTCCAGAAGAATTTTGGAGAAAGCATGTCCCAACATTCTAAACAAACGCCACACTTGTGGAGTGGGTTTCTTTTCTACGATCCATATTTTGTAACACTAAGTATTTTCCTTCTTTGTCCCCGCACCTTTACGTATTAGCACTATCGGATAGAAGTCATTCCATGCCTGTGATGTTGTAAGCAGAATAAATGTCTAAAGTAGGTGTAAATAGTAAATTCTACGGCTTACAATTTTAAAAGGAAAGAACAAACATGTATCCATTGATACTGCCATGGTTCAGCACCAGGCCTGGAGACATTCTCCAGTGAGCGATTGTACTTTTTTTTTTTTTTTTTTGCCTTTTTTTTTTTTTTTGTAACATGGCTTTGTAAATAAAATAATTTATATGTTTGTAAAACAAAGTCTTCGGGTTTTCATAAAATTTAGATTTTTTTGCTATTTCTTTTGTCTTCCGGGTCAAAGTATTCCTGCTAGAATGCACATTTGCCTAAAGAGTGTGAATTCATTCACCAAATATTTATGGAGCATCGTGGGGTGGCTGCCCCTCAACGAGGCTCTCTGTGCTCAGTGAGGAGAAACAGACATGGTCCCAGCTGCTTTCTGGAAGCTACCCAGTGGGGAAGACAGTAAATAAACACATGATCAAATGTGTAATTACGGTTTGTGGCAAAGGCTGTCGTGGAAAGAATTGGATTCTGTGAGAGAAAAGAACAGGAGAAGCTGACATACAGTGGGCGATAGGGCGCCATCAGGGAGTCCCCTTCGAGGAAGTGAGCTGAAGGCACAGTGCGGGGGAGAGAATCCCTGGCAGAGATGGTCCAAGGTAGGAAACACTTGGAAGTACTTAGAGCCTGAGGAAGATCCACTGTGGACAGAGCAGAGGGAGAGAGATGGACAGAAGGCTAGGCAAAGTCACAGAAGGCCTCACAGAATTTGGATTTCATGCTCAGTTCAGTGGGAATCCTTTGAAGGGCTTAAAGTAGGGACATGGCGTGATCCCCTACATACGAGCTGTTGCGTGGAGAATCACTCAGAAGCTAGTTCAAGAGACCAGGTGAGACGCCATGTTCAAGTGGTCCCAGGATGATGACAGTGGAGACAAGGGGAAGTGAATGGAGTCAAGATACAGCTTACATATTAAATTGACAAGACTTGCTTGGGAATTGGATCTGAGAGTAGGGAGAAATGACTCCCAGGCTGGGTTACATGGAGATGCCTGCCGTTTCTTGAGATGTGGAAACCAGAGGAGGAATGAGTTTTTCAGGGGACAGGCAGGAGGAGAGATTGGTGAAGCTCAGAAGTCCTGTTCTGGGCATGTGTGTTGGCTCATCAGTGGGATCACTGGATCACTGAAGCTGCTGTGCCAAGTAGGTGTGACAGACACGTGACGGAAAGGATCAGCAGCTCTAAGTTGGAAACACCAGTTTGGGAACCTTTAGTATATGGATGATATTTAGAGCCCCAAGCATGAGTGGGATTGCTTCAGAGAACATAGAGCGGGAAGAACACACTTAGAGGTGAGGCAGAAGCAGAAAACTAGCAAAGAACCCAAAGCTGAAGGATTCCCAAAGAGAAGAGAGAACCCAACAGAAAGTGGTTCCCTCAAAGAGAGGACTGTGAGCTGTTTCAAGGAAGGAAGAGTCAACTGAGTCAGATACCATGCATGATGTTAGATCCAGATGGTATCATGTTTGGACTTACGTAGCATGAAGGTCATGGGTGACTATTAGTTTCTTAGGGTGGCCATAACAAATTAGCACGATGTGGTGGCTTAAAGCAGCAAAAAGTTACTCTTTCAGAGTTTTGGAGACCGGAAATCCCAAAATCAAGCAGGCATGCCTTCCCTTTGACAGCCGTAGAGGAGAATCCTTCCAGTTTCTGTGGACTGCTAGCAGTGCGTGGCATTCCTTGGCTTGTAGACACATCCCTCCCATCGCTGCCTCTGTCTTCACATGGCTCCTACATGGCCCCCATGTCTCTCCCACGTCAAAGATTTCCCCCTGCCTTTCTCTTGTGAGGACATCGGCAGGGGACTTACCTCCCACCCTAAATCCTGGATGATCCCATCTCCAGATCCTTAGCTTAATGACATCTTTTTCCAAATAAGTTCATACTCACAGGTTCGAGGGCCCTGTCATTTGGGGGGTTACTATTCAACCCACTACAGTGACCCTTGCAAAGCAGGTATGATGGCGTGGTAGGGCCCACAGCCAGACTGGAGTGATTTGAAGGAAATTCATGTATGTCGGCAGATCTTAAGGAGATAAGAAGGCTCAAGAGAGTGTTTGGATTTTGTTTCTTTTTGTTTATTGTTTTTCAGGAGAGAAGAGACAAGATTATGATTCATATGCTGGTAAGAATGGGATGGTAGGAGAGGGGAAAAGCAGAAGAAACGGGGTGATTTAGAAAAAAGGGAGAGGCCCCTGGGTGGTTCAGTGGGTCAAGTGATTAAGAGTCTGACTCTTGGTTTTGACTCAGGTCATGATCTCAGGGTTATGAGATGGAGCCCCACGTCGGGTGCGGCGCTGGCCCGCTTAAGATTCATTCTCTCTCTCTCTGCCCCCTCCCCATTCATGCTCACTCTCTCTTGCTCACATTCTCTTTTGGGGAGAACCCCCACTCTCCCAAAAAAAAAAGAAGAAGGGAAGGCTTTGAGAAGGCAAGAGGGAGGTGAACCAAAACGCATGTGTTTGTAGGGTTCAAAGATAAACTGAGGTATATTTTTTAAATAGTTTTTTAAATAATAATTTTTTAAAGAGTTTATTTAAGCCAAAAAGAATTTGAATAGGCAGCACCAAACAGGAAGTGGTTGTGGGCGCGCCACCAACAGGGAAGAGACTTTTACAGAGAAAAGGTGGAAGCAAAGAAGTTCTTGGATGGACTGTAGCTTAAAGCCTGGTTGACTTTGGTGATTGATTGAACTTGTTAGTGTTCTGTGCTCGTGACCTTGAGGCATTGATGAGCAGAGATTTGGGGTCGTTTACAAAAGCCACTGGGCATTAGTGTCTCCTCAGTCTCAGGGCCTCCTTGTTTAATGGAAGGACCAGTAGGAAGAGGGGCCCTTCCTCCAGGGCAGTGGGGAAGAAGTTAGCTTTCAGACTGGCTGTTGGGAAGACAGGGAAAATTCACACCTGGTGGCCGCCATTTTCTCCATGACCGCGAGTAACCTGAGTGTGTATGGGAGCGTGGGAGAAGTGTTAAGAAAGAATTAAGTAATCACTAGTGAAACTAGATTGCCACAGCGTTGAGAGCACATTTGAGATCCGTGTTCAAAGCAAGGTCCCGACTCAGGGAAGACGATCTTGGAGAGTGGTTCGAGCACACTAAGGGCAGAGCAGGGCCATTGGAGTTCCAAGTCACACTAAGACACATTTCTTACCATTCTGCCTCTGCCTTTCACTGTTGTGCAGAAAAGAAAACCAGGGGAAGCAGATTTGAGACTTGGCACATAGTGAGCACCTTGAAAATAAATGTTTGTACAAATGGATTATCCATAGTCACAAAACCTCAGTGTCGTGCTTCTAGCACCAAGGACAGCATATAGCCATTTGTTCTAAGCTTTGTCTCCGACTGGCCACCCAACACCGCATTGGCCGCGGTCACCTTTCACTCCATTTTGAAAGGAGCCTATGCATTCTGTGTTTTCCAAATCTAGACTGAGAAGCCTCCTTCGGTTCCAGTCACAGGTTCGGAGAACCCCTAGAAAACCGGAAGTGATCTTAAAGACCCTCTTCTACAAGTGAGGGAACTGAGACACAGAGAGGTCAACTGAGGTACAAAAACCACACCGCTGGCTGATGGGCAAGCCTTTCGGGCTAGTGCTCTTTCCGTGTTATCTCACTGCTTTCTGTAGAAATAAACTGCACCTACAGATTCTTCCACAATGAGGTTTTAAAAGTCTATGTGACAGGACACCTAGAAGGCTCAGTTGCTTAAGTGCTGCCTTCGGCTCAGGTCATGATCCTGGGGTCCTGGGATCAAGTCCCACATTGAGCTCCTTGCTCAGCAGAGACCCTGTTTTTCCCTCTGCCTGTTGCTTCCCCTGCTTGTGCTCTCTCTCTCTCTGACAAATAAGTAAATAAAATATTTTTTTAATTAAAATAAAATTCTGTGCATCTCTTAATTGGCTTATTCAGGTCTCTGGAATTTCTTTTACTAAAATATTTTTCTCCTTTTTTATTTTTCCCATTAGGCAATAACCACTTGCCCAATGGATTATTTCTTGCTTTCTGATGTGGTTGGGATTAGTCCAGTTCCCAGGCATGTATTTTAATAAGTGTATTTTTATTCAGTACAGCCTCGTAAGCCTTCACCTAGGCAGGTAAATGAGGAAAGTGCAGAAAAGCTGAATATCTCAAAAACTAAATCAGTCCCATAAAAGTCCACGTCAGGACAGAACGGCTGTAGGAAGCTTGCCAGCGTCTTGGAGGTGTATCATTCATTGTGACCTTTTGAAATACAAATCTGATCTAAAGTCACAAATATTGGGAAAGTTCTCTCGATTTCAGAAATTTTGGGAAGTTTTCTGGGCTTCCCTTTCACCTTCAAATATTTCAGTAAATTTCTAATTAAAGCAAACCTCATCATCACAAAAGCATTTGCTTCCTCTGAGACCTGAGCAAGCACTGTGGAAGCTGCTGGAAAAATTGGAGCTTGTGCACCCTGTATTGGGATTTTTGGTTTCTCTGGGCTCCCTTCACTTCCCTATCTGATTTCCTAGCCCATTATTACTAAGCCCCCGACCAAACACACACACACACACACACACACACACAGGCATCTCCCAATTTTCCTGAGTAATCCGGACACCGTGTTG